TGCAGAGGCTGACCCCAATGGTGTGAATGTCCCTCCTCCACAGCCCACCTTCGAGCCTTTTGCTAAAGTTGACCATGTGACACTAGGATCTCCAGCACATATAGCGGTAAGAGTGAGGAATTTTGGTAAAAAGGTTTGAAGAAAAAAAAAAAAGACTTTAGAGATGATTTTTTAGAAGTGGGAAATTTGAGTGTATTACATTTTAAGCTGTTGATGCCTAGAGAGTGTGTACATTCGTACTGTGATTTGAGCTTATCAATTTTGTTTATACAAAGATGGCTCCAGTAGTGCTTAGTTACCAAGGAGATGCTTACTAGGCCTGACTAATCTCACCTGTTTAGCCTTTAGCTTGATTATCAGAAAGATTTCTTGAAATTATATTATTTACTGTTAGTATTGTAAATATTATAATGGTATTGTAAATAATAACTATAATGATAATAACAGTATTATAGAAAAATCAGGTGAGGTCAGTTAGGATTACTAACTGACTTCTTAGTGACAAAGGGCATCTAGAGCTATATGTAAATAAAATTACAAAAACAAAACTACAGTGGACAGTGCATGTACCTAGTCCCAATGGGTTAAACGGGAACTGTAGGTTTTGCAGTCATGGAGTGTCATGAAAAACAGACAGGTGGTCTGAGAGATTCTTTATGGTTTTTAGACGTAAAGTTTCTTTGAAAACAAGACATTATTATTCATTTGATTTATTACTGACATTTTGTTAGTTTCACTTCTTTATATATCATACTTGAGAGTAATTTTTATGTTATTATAATATCATTTTTATATTTTAGAAAAATGTTAAATGATAGATGTCTAAATACTGGTCTCTGTCACTCCAGGGCCTACAGGAAGGCGACCAGATCGGAAAGTTTGGATCGGTGGTTAGCAGCAACTTCCGCAACATGACTAACATTGCGGAAATTGTGAATCACTCAGTGAACTCCACAATTCAGGTAATGTTATGAGTTATAGAATGCTAAGAAATAAAAGTGGCATGGGTTCTTAAATATATTTAGGCATTGGTAAAAAAAAAATCAAAATGCTTGGCAAATGACTCCAGTTTACATTCAGTCTTTGTCATCATGTAAATAGAGAATTTTATAACATTTGATGTCGTTCACACTAAGGGAATTATTTGTTGTTAAATTTTCTGGTTATATCACCATGTTCTTATTAGACTTTATTCTTAATAACCACTTTTTCACTTTATTCTTAATAACCACTTTTTCACTTTATTCTTACTAACCACTTAGCAATTAATTTAAGTCCAGGCTTCTTCATCATGTTATGCAGACACCATAATTACACAGAAGTAGAAAAAGTAGGGAAACTACTAAAGCTGGTATTCCAAAGCCCACACTCACTCATGGTCCCCCCCCCCCCCTATCAGCAAGGCACTTCTAGACTAGCTTGTAATGATGTTTTAATTATATAATATTGTATCAGAAATTTTAAAAATTATTATGAAGTATAAATCCTTATTGCCTGCAAGACTGTTAGCATAAAGTAGGCAAATTACATTTAGGTCTGGCTTCCCTTCTCCAGATTATCATGCTTAGTCCTGGCTTGAGTCTGGTCCCAGAGTCAGATAAGGTTTGTGAAATGCAAGCTTAGGCAACTTACTCACTAAAAGATTTTGAAAATTGTTCCTGTGTTCCACCAGGTCATTGTCCAGAGAGAAGAGCAGAGTGTGACATTGTCCCTTACTCCACGACCATGGTCTGGTAGAGGACTTCTAGGCTGCAACATCGTCCCTATTGAAAGATTGGATCGATAAGAACCAAACTTTTTAAACATGCAAAATATGGATTATATATATATTTGTTTTGTATTTCTCGATCCTTTTTAATTACTGGATGTACCTTAGTGAGTTTTTTTCTTTTTGTATACATATATATTTTTTTCTAATTTATGGCGGATCATTAGTATTAATAGTTACAATCACTGACATGTTCACGAAGAGGAAAATAAATGAGTGGATTTTTGCATTCACAACTTATGACTATTTATCATCATTATCAGATTCTCCTGAAAGGACAGGTTACTTTAACCCCTTGCCGACTGGCATGGCATGATGTACATGCCATGCCCATTGAGAGTTTACTTGTTTAATAGTTTTTCACACATAGATGGCTACACTTGAACTAAATCACCAATGAGCCAATTACAAGTACCGCTTGTCTCTTGTTAACGTTATCTTATTTTGCTGTTACAAATGTTTATAACATTTTAGTAATCATAATGTTTATAATAAAAATAATACCATCTATATTTCTAGCACAAGTAAAAATACATTTTTCGTGCCATTTCAAGGAAAGGTGAAATCCTTTATGGCTAAGCACTAGCAGAGCCATCTCGTAACAGGGACATTTCACAAAAATATAAAAAATGATCATAGAATTTCCCCCATTTTTTATTAATTTTCCCCGTCGGGAAAGGGTTAAAGTATTTGATTACTTGTATTTTGTAATATTTCTTTGTTTAACCCATT